TTGGAATTAAATATAAATATTATAATAAAATATTAATTAAAATTTATTTATTGATATTAAGATGCAATTAATGATGAAGAAAATGAAACAGATTCAGAAGATGAGTTACTACGAAATTCTATAATTAAACTAAGACTTGTTAGGACTTCATTAAGAGATGTAAGAGGAAGAGAGTGAAGAAGAGGACGCAGAAGAGGACATAGAAGAATAGGGTTGGTAATAAAGAAAACAGAAGAAGAGTAAATGCAGATCCTAGATTTGGAAATCGATAACTTGTTGAAAATCCAGTTAATACCACAGATCTTTTAAAAAAAGTAAAAGCTTCTATTTACTTATCTATGAAAGAATACTGAAATGTTCCAAAACGAGTAGGAATGATGGCAGCAATTTTGGATCTGTGACTAAAAAGTCTCAAATTTGTTAATAATGACACTATCAAATCTCAAACGATTAGGAAATTATGTGAACTTTATTCTGCTAAGAAATTAGCAAGTGAATTAAATCCTTTAAATAATTCTATCAGTAATCCCCAGCAAAATACAACATCTTCATCATCAAATTCCATTATTACTGTACTCTTGAATGATGATAATAATGATAATAACATTAATGACATTAACGAAGTTGATGTTTATTTGAATTTACAGGTATCAAAACAAAGATGTGACCCTCTTGATTGATGGAGTGATAATTCAAAAAGAGTTCCTTTATTGAGCTGAATTGTACATAAATATTTGTCAATACCCGCAACTTCAGTACCAAGTAAAAGACTGTTTTCGGATGCTGAATTGCATATTACAGCTCGCTACAACTGTTTAAGTCCAAAATTAGTTGAGGAGCTTTTATTTTTAAAACGAAATATAGCATTATTTCCAATTTTTTCACCCAATGAGTAGTTTAAATATTTAATATAAATTTAAAGCTTAGAAGTGGGCTGTGCTATATGGAAATTTTTGTAGAGAATTTTTGCATTTTTATATGATTACATCAATCAATAAAGTATATTGATGTAAAGGATTTTGTTACATAAATAAATAAATAATACAGCAATAAACTTTTTAAACTTTAAATTTTTAGATGTATAATGTTAGTTGATTTATTTAGTGGCTTATATAATTTACAATAAAAATAATAAAAATTATCAGTATTAAGTTTCATCATAATGATTGTACTACTGTATCATACATTTTTACTGCACCTTAAATCGTTGCTGATGACAATCGAATCTTTCACAAAAATTTTTAATTTATTGTAAGCATTGATGATCATTATTAATGTGATAATTTTACAATATCGCTTTAGATATAAAAAAAAATTTTTATGGAAACTGATTTAATATACGAAACTGGTTTATAATTAAAAATCAGTTTCATATACTAAACCGGGTTGCAAAAAGTAAACCAGTTTAAAACTGGTTTCTGATAATGTAACCGATTTGGAGTATTAAAAAAAGTCATTTTTAAAGATTTTGAAATAGTTTTTCAATTTTTAAGCTACATGTTATAATAGGTTTTGAACAGTATTATTATTCATAACTCTTTACTCCTTTAATTAATTTTTCTTTTCTTTATCTACTCTAAAGATATTTTTTTAAATTATTTTTAAAAAATTTGAGTTTTAAAATATTAAAATTAAACTATTTATTTATAATAATAGATTTTTCTAAACTCAATTAAGTTTAATCAAGTTTAGATTTAAAAAAAATCATTTTAAAAGTTTCAAAAAAGTTTGTAAATTTTTAAGTTACATATTAAAATAGGTTTTGAATAGCATTAATCTATTTTATTATCTTTATTTATTTTTTTTTATTTTAATTTTAGTTTTATTAATTTTTTTTTAAATTCTATTAAAAAATCTTACTATTATTATATAGTGTTTAGTATCAATAGTTATAGATTAAGTATATTTTCAAAACTTTAATTTATTAATTATTTATTTAAATTTATTTGTTTTAAATATTATTTTAAACTTATTATCATATATTAAATTAAATATAATATTTATTAATATTGTATAATAAATAAATTCAGTAAATCATTACTAAACTTTCTCATTATAATGAATTGTGATCTTCAAAAATTAAGATTTAGAAAAGTTTAAAATACTAAATTGTATTAACTATACTAATCATTATATTAATAGTATATTTCTCAATCATAATTTACTTCATTGAATCTTGTTAATAAATTTTGCAAGTTAAATTTCTTAAAGATAAAAAAAGATTATCTTTATCACTAAATTTAAAATTTATAAGTTCAATATTAAAATTTTTTAAACTTTATAATATACTTGTAATATTTCAAGGACCTATAAATAATATTCTATATAATATATTATAATAATATATAATCATTTATATTAATAATATCAATATTAACTCAAAGTCATTTGATGAATATCTATTTGATTAGAAATAAATATTTCTATAATTACAATAGATTGGATTAAAACTTAGTTCAGAAAAATGTTTTTTCTTTAAACAAAAGTTATTATTTCTTAAATATGTAATTAATAGAAAAGGAATTTAAATAGATTCAGATAAATTAGCTATAATTAAGAATTTTTTATTTCTAAAGATTACTAAAAAAGTTATAGATAGACTCTATAACAATAATATATTTTTGAATATTTTAAAATTGTCTGATTACTTTACAATTTTTGAATACACTAATTTCAATAAACCGTTTTTCTTTATACAAATGCTTCTTTAGTTATAATATATTTGACTAAAAGCTATTTGACTGAATCTATTTGCTACTGCATTAAATATCACACATTAATTGATAAGATTATTATAAAATTATTATTTATATTATGCATATAAATGATAAATAGTTTTCGATCAAATGGCTTTTGGTTAAACATATGAATATGTTCTTTTTTTACTCTTACAATAATATTTTCTTAAAGAATAAATAAAAAAAATAACAAGTTATCACTTATACAAATGAAATAGTAAGACTAAAGATGGTACAGCAATTGATTTCAAATTTACAAAATGTTGCAACATAAGCTAAAATTAGTTGCAACATATGTTGCAACATTATAAGTTGCAACATATATAGGTTAAAACTAATTGCAACGTAAGTTGCAACATTAAAAGTTGCAACATGTTAATTACAGTTCCCATCTTTAAGTAAGACTATTAAAAAGAAAATATTCAGTTACAGAATAAAAATAGTTTAGGCTATAAAATATTTCTACTATTATTTATATAAACATAAATTCATAGTAATAACTGATTATGCTATTTTAGTTTATTTAAAAAATATAACAAATCCTATTAGAATATTTGGATGTTAGCTAATAATACTTAAATTCTATAATATTAAAATTATTAACAACTTGAAAAATTTTACTCAAATATAGCTTATTAATACAAATTTTTGTAATCATTATATAACAATTTTACTAAAAAGAAAAATATTATATAAAAATTAATATTTATAATTTTTATAATTAAAATCAAAATCTTTGTAATTTTGATTGATTTTTTTAAAGTGAGTTTTATAATCAATTTTGTTAATATGTAATTATTTATAATAAGATTTAAATGTAAAAATATTTTTTTACATTACTTTATATGATAAATTCAAGAGTATTATATATATAAATTGTATTATATAATTAGGTGAACTGTATTGTACAAAAGTGATTATAACCAATAATATTTCATTATATACTTTTTGATTTTGTATAATTATTGTATAATGAAATATGATTGGTTGTATCACTTTTATACAATACAGTTTATCTATTCACTTTAAATTTAATTTAATAATTTTCTTCATATTATTAATAAGAAAAGTATTTATTGATGTATTAATAAAAGAGAATAATTTTGTATATGTTGCATTGATTTTATTAGATTTTTTTGAAAAAAGTTTTAGTAATACAGTAAGTAAAGCTTTGAGTTCTCATTCAAAATATATAATTTTTTTTTAGTATTTTTAGATAATAAATTTTCTAAAGTATAAAAGAACATATCATTATCTAATGTTCTAAGTAGTTTAATAAATATATTATCTTCTAATTATTTGTTTTTGGTAAAAAGAAAGAAAGAAGGTAATGGTTAATGATTATATTTTCTGGTTTTTTAGTTAAAATTAGTTTAACTATTAGTAAGTTATTTTAAATAAATAAATTAATATGTATAGGCAAGTCTTTACATTTATTTAATTAATTTAATTTAATAATTTATATATTAAATTACTATAATTTAATTAAAAATTTAATCAAACTAAGGTTGGTCGATTAATTTTTTTTTTTTTTAGAAATTTGCGATTTTACCAATGTGTCTGAAATCATCTTTATTCTAGCTGGAACTACAAAAATTATTTAAAATTAAACTTTTTTTCGAAATTGATTCTTAACACAATCATAAAGTCATTAAAAAATATATGATATTTGTTAGCTCATTTAAAGAATTTATATTAAATTTCTATCAAAATAATATTTTAATTTTATATGATGACGTTATTTTAATGAAAGATTATTTATTTTAACAATGTAATAAATAATTAATATATAACAATAAAATATATTAAAAATAATAAATAAGTCTCTCTCAACTTAATCATCACCGGCTTATAAATAAATATACAAGAAAATTGAATTTAGATACACAACTAAGAAAAATTATATAAATGAAAGAATATTTATAATGAAAAAAGAAATTTTCCAACAACGCAACTAAACTGATTAGCAAAAGGGTATTGCTTAGAGCATGCACTGTATAAATACCGAAATTGATGATGTGTTTGGATTTTGCCATGTACCCGATTTTTATTGTTATTAAGAATATATTTACTAATCTATGAAAAAAGTATGTTTCATATGTACTCGACTTTTTTTCCTTTTTTTTTTTTGATTTGCAAGTTTTACTCTTACATTTATCCCAATTAGAAATATAAATAATAATTCTTTTCTCATCAGTGTTATGATCGTTACTCGCTGTTCCTAAGTGAATGTCAAGAAACCTCTTTTTTCAATATAATTTATTACTTTTTGGAACCAGGCCAAGTTTTGCTATTGTATGGATTTTTTCCCGTTTCTTTACCATCAGAACTAACAGAATTAACAGCTTCTTCAGTTGGTGACTTGTGAATCGTAGTTGATTCGGCAGATGAATTATTATCTGTGTTGTTATTAGGTGATTTTTGGGATTGTGGTGTATTAGAAATGGGACTATTAATAGCATCATTATCATTCTTTTTTTCTTTATTATTATCGACAACAATCTTGCTGACACTATCGGTGCTGTTGCTACGACTTGAAATATCACTGTCAGTGCTTTCTCTCCGATGCGGAATATCGTCAATGGTTAGTTCATTTTGATTTTCAAGATCGTTATCGTCAGGTAGATATTCATCTGCTTGTTCTGAAGGTATCTCCAAACCTTCATCTGCATCATCATCATTATAATCTGTCGACATATCATTTCCTTTTTGTTTATCATGTTCCTCGTCGTATACTGGTCCTACATTTCCATATCTTGAAGCCATCCAATCATACCAGTCATTTTCGTTTTTACCATTGAGAAAACCGACAATGATAACAGTCATATTATCACACCCAATACCACCAAGCTCACTATCTTTAGCCAAGCATCTTTCCATCAAATTCTCACAAGCTGTTTGAAGACTTTTTGATTGGGCGATATCTCGGCGAATAAAATTAACCACTTGTTGTGAAGAAAGACAATCCCATATACCTAGATAATAAAGAAATTTATTTAAATCATTCATTAGTAAATTACAAAAATTTTAGATTGTTAAATAATAAAAATTACCATCACAAGCTAAAACTAAGAACTCTGTTTTCTCTCGTATAATCAGCTCTTTTTTAACATCAGGATATGCTATAAAAGAATACAATATAGATTAGATCTAATCCAATGATAAAATAATTAATAAATACGCAAACAAACCTGTTACAATTTGTTCTTCTGGCGATAAGTTTGGGTTTTGCTTGAATTCAAAGTCACCAATAGCACGCGACAAGGCCAAATTACCTATAAAAAAATTAAAAAATTATAAATTATAAATTTTTATTTTAAACAATTCGGTATAAAGCTTCGATAATGGTCTCATTCTTTCGTGATTTTTGACAAAGAAAGTTTAGTCAAACACTAAAAATACTACATGTAGCAAGCAAATTTATAAAATAATAAAAAATCATACCATTCACACGCCCAAATTCAACAAATCCACCGGCTTTCTGAATGCGAGAGGATTCTTCTGCAAAAAAAAATTTGGTTTTAAATAAAGCGTATGATTTAATAAAAATGAAATGATCACAATTATGCGAACTTCTGATAGTATTTTAAGGTAAACAATGAATTCGTTTAAATTTTTATTTAATATACCTTTATTAAGAGGTTTATGATCAATTGACATTGGTAATGCATCTCCATCTTTGCTCATAACTGCTCTTGAATCACCAGCATTGCCCTATTAAGTAAATAGAATTATTTATTCAAGGAATCATATTATGCTTACATAATAGAAAAATAAATATTATTTAACATACAACAAAAATCCAATCATCAGGAGTCACCACAGCCGTAACAGCGGTACAACCGGAGGGATCATTAGCATATTGTGGGTCTAAAGTTAAAAGGTAATTCAATCTTAAAAATTCTAAAAAAACCATTGTCAAATAGGATTACAGCTTTCGGTGGATCTTAATACCATTTTTTAAATCCTCATCGGTTCCTAAGAAACCATTTTTTATAGCATCTTCAAGGTTACTAGAAAATTGTGGGTCTCTAGCAATTCGTTCATGAAGGTGAGCTCCACTATATTTGGCGACATTTTGTCCTTAAAAAATACGTAAATAAAGAGGAAGTTTAATTAAAATTATTATCAATTATGAGAGATTTCTAATAAACCCATTTCATTATGATATTATGATATTTACCACCATGACCATCATAAACACCAAAAAAGCTATAACCATTTTTATCTTTGAGTGTTAACTCGGCAGTATGTGCATCTTCCATACTAATACGCCAGCCTTGCATTGCTGAAGAGGCATAGACAATACGTTTGTCGGAGCCTCTGTCTGAATGTTTTTCTTTGACAGGTTCTGAAAGTGTTTGACCCATTTTATTCGTTTATTTATTATATTAAAATCTCTGTGAATCAAAATTATAAAGTACAAAAAAATTTTGATTGTTAGTTTTCATATTTCTTAGGATTATATATTTGAATTTCTTTATACTCAAAGCTTCCGATAGAAAAACCATAATTTCTTCTCTGCTTTATCTCTTTTATTTATAATTATTATTGAGACTACAAATCCTTATAATACCTTGCAAGAATCAAAATTTATTTTTCTTTTTTTTTTTTTTTAGAAAAGAAAGAAGAGATTACACAAAAGTTTAATTAAATCATTAATAATTTATCATCCAACATATTAACATTGATAAGACATTTTCGATATAATATAATTTTTAATTTATGTAACTTTACATTAATGAAATAATAAATTACCTGCAGAATTTCCGATATATATATACTTTTTTTTTTTTTTTTTTAATAAATAAACATAAACCGATAATAAATAATAAATTATTAATAAAAATATTAAATTATTCTGTTAAAGACTAATATTAAAAAATAAATTTGATTTTTTTTTTTTAAAAAAAAAAAATATAAAATATAAAGGAAGAAAAAAATATCTATTTAAATAGAAACGTTTAACCATGGGAGATTGGCGTACAGGGTTGTTAATGAGAATGTTTAGTACAAATTAAGATATGACGATAAAAAGTTACGATTATTTTTTCTCTATAATTGATTATTGGATCCTTATAAAAGATACGCAAATAAAAAAAATAAAAAGGAAAATATTTATGGAAAGATTATAATCAGTATATGAATGTATTTTTCATTGTTTTAAATTTCGCATATTCACAGAAACATCTTTTGGAAACTTTTTTTTTTGATAATAAATGAACCTTTTTAATTAAGAAAAATGAGAGAATTTTTTCTAGACTTTCTGGAATTATTCTTTAAATTTCTTTGTGTATAAAACATTTTATTTTTATTGGATAATTTTAAATTTAAATGGAAGGAAGTTGCATGGAAATTCTATTTAAACATTCTATATAATTCACAAAAGTACTTTTACCTGGTTTTCGTCCCAATGATCGTTCAATCATTACCTGGCATAAATTAGGTTACACTCTCGGAGTTATTAAATACGAACACTTGAATTTTATCTATTTGTTAATAAACGCGCAGATATTGTCTATTTATAGGATTAATTTAAATTTTGGAGTTCTGCCAAAGAATTCTTATAGATTTGATTCACAAAAACAAAAGTTACAATCAATAAACGTCATTTAATAATTACACGTGATGTTGATTAACTCCTTTATAAACAAAATAACTGTGCAATGATGTAAATCGGTTACAAATTTTATTGGTGTATCGTTTATGTGTAACAAATAATGATTCATAAAATTGAGATCCATCCTCAGAAAAGATGAATATTTGTGTTACCAAAATTTCAGGGTGATTAACATTATTTTTGATTGTAAATTACCAGTAAATTACCAAAACATAAGTATATTTTCAATTATGATTTTATATATAAAAATAAAAAAATATTTAATATATCCATTATGAAATTTAAGAATTATAATAAATAATATTTTAATCATAATATTTACTATATAAAAGAATAAAAATATTATTTGTTTGTTAGTTATATATGTTTTGAAAAAGGTGATAAGTTTTTTAATAAAAATATATAAAATATATTTGATACATCTTAATAGTTAGTAAAAAAAAAAAAATTTAAAGCATTTAAAATGTTAAAATAGTTAAAATAATAATAATTAAATATACTATCTATTATAAAAGTTTTACAAAATAAAAGTAATAAAAATCATCATATTTTTTCAAATAATGAAAATTATCATTATTAAAAAAGAACTAAATATTTAAAAAATTCTATTACTTAAAGAAACAAATCATTAGTTATTATAATTTTTAATAAATTTTAAATATAGTAACTTTTATAATTATTAATCATTTAAAATTTATATTATAAGATTTTAAATCAAATAAGAAAAAAATTTTATTTAATAATTGCAATACATGGTAATACATATAAATTAAAGTTCAAAATTTGGTTTATTTAATAGGAGTGTTGAATTTCGATTGATGTAATTTTTAGTGTAAATTTTATGTAAAATATTTGATTAAAATTTAGTATTAAATTTACATTACATGTACCAACTTTTTTGTAGATACATTTGATGCAAATCTGAACCAGCCAATTAAATTTTGTATCACCATTTTTTTTAAAAAATCTCAAATCTTTCATGTTCAAGTATAAAAAATTTTACAAGTCAAGTACTAATAGAATATCTAACTAAAAATCAAAAGCAACAAAAGCAATAAAATAATTTGTTATCTTCACTTCCAAAATATCAGCAAGCAAATATTTTTAAAGAATACGAAAATGTTGAATTTTTATATTATAATACATTTTCACAAAATTATTCTTCTAAAAATCCAAGTATTTTACCTTCAAGTTCTTTTCAATGACATCGTATCCATATATTATTTCTCATTTTCCTCAACCTTATCAACAATTACCACAGTCTCAACCACCTAAACAATTACAACAGTCTCAACTATCTTAATAAATATAATAGCCACAACTAACTCAACCTTTTTAACCTCGTAAAATTCAAAACTAACCTAATTTAAAAGTATAAATAAATTTTATTTTTTTAAGTTAATAATTTTTAAAATACAGCTATGTTTTAACATATAATTTTTTATTTAATTAAAAAGTTTAATAATAATAATAATAATAATAATGCTAATTCATCAAAAACAAAATCTCAAGACAATAAAAAAAGGAAAGAATCAATAAAAAATATTGAAGAAGAATCTTCAAAATGGGATGATGATAAAATTACTTTACTTATTGCATATATTCAAAACAATATTTCAATATAATCTAGCAATAAAAGTAAATTTTATGATTCAGTTTCAGCAAACATTCTTCCAAAATTTTCTAGTGAACAAATAAAAATAAAATAGAAGGATTATTGCACCAATATGATAAAGTCAAGCAAAAAAATAATCAAACTAGTACTGCAAGAACAGATTGGAAATGGTATGATCAACTGAATGAAATTTTAGAAACACATGAAATAATAAGTCTAAGTTTTATATCTGATGGATTAACAGTTAATATTGAATCTATGAAATAAGAAAAACAAGTTATTAAACCTAAAAACAAAAGATCTAAAGTTTCAACTGGTTTGATTAGTAATGCTATTTTAGCAATGAGTTTAGCAAAAGAAAAAATGTGGGAAAAAAAATATGAATTATAAGAAAAAAAGTTAGATTTTAAAAGCAAAAAGTTGATCAAGAATTAGCAATTGAAAAAGATAAATTAAAAATTAAAAAATTTAGAATACAAGCAAAGGTTGAAAAACTTAAAATTCAGTTGGAATATGAAAGACAATTAAAAGAAATGGAATTTAAATATAAAAATAACCAATAAAAATTTTATTCTGAATAAAATTCATTATTAAACATTATATGATTTCTTTTTTGTTATCCAGCTAATTTTAATTCATTACTATTAAAATCATTATTTTCTTGATTTTCTTCATTTAAATTTAAATTTAAATCTAAATTCTAAATATTTCTATTAAGTTCCAAAAAATTATGAAGAATAATAGCACAATCAGCAAAAAGAATTAAATGTTTCACCTTTTTAATAGATCAATCTTTTAAAGAAACCAATCTTGTTTTTAATCTTCCAAAAGCATTTTCTATTATAACTCTATATGATGAATGTATTAAATTAAATTTTTTTTGCTGTTGATTTGTTGATAGATGAAAAGGAGTAATTAAAGATGGTAAAATTGGATATGTAGAATCTTTAAGTAAATAATCATTATTAATAATTAATTCATTTTTTTATTTATAAAAACTTGAATTTTTATAAACTTTTGCATCATGTATTGATCCTAGCTAACCTATATCATAACTAATAAAAATTTCATGATAATCTAGTATTCCTTGACATTAAATAGAATAACATTTTTTTCAATTAAAATATGATTCTGAAGAATTAGAAGGTTTATAATTTAATATTAAATGAGTTTCATCAATAATATCAATTACATTTTTAAATCCACTAATTAATTGAATATTTTATGAATTAATTTACGCTGCTCTTCTTTTAGCCATTGAATAAATAATGATTTTTTTGATATTATTGCTTTAATTACTCTTTCTATATATAAAAGTATAGTATCTTTTGCAATACTAAATTGTGAATAAATTTTAAAAATATTACTTTTACCTCCGATTCTATGCAAAAATACTGCTAATTAAAATTCTACTAGTACTTGCTTTTTTTATCCTTTTGTTTGAAAAATATTATGATTGAAAATCAAAATAACTAAAGTTTTATAAAGTTCAAATGGCATTCATAATATTTTTTTAAAATGTTTATCATCATAAAATGGTAAAATTTCATTATACCAATAAGATGACTTTAGTATATTATATAAACGGGTATTAAAATATTTTGTTTCTAAAAGTAATAATAAATTAAAAATAATTAAGTCATTATCTTCAGTTTCATTTTCAAAATCATTAGAGTCACTATCATTTTCATAAAAAATTCTTGAACTGCTGTTAAAAGAAACGCATTTTCTATTTCTTATTTTATAGACATTTTAGAATATGTCATGCATCAATTTTTGTATCAACTCTGTTCAATTTTATATATCGAATTATGAATTTTAATTGGTTAATAACGATGTGCATCAAAAATTACATCAATCAGAATTGAACACCCCTAATATTTATTTCAATTTTATTATTTTTGATTTTTAAAATAATTATTAAAAATCAAACATATGGGTGGTATGCTATTAAAATTGAGATACAAGACATAATGAATCATATGATCTGTATTTTAATTTAATAGCATATCACTATATTATTTAATATCTTTGGTATTTATAAAATTTATAAATATTTTAATTAATTTATAAGAAATTATATTCAATTTTTTTTTGGTTTAATTATTATATTTTTTATAAGATTTAATAATTAA